GGATGTGGGAGCTAATCCCCCTAGCTGATGGGTGGGCTAAGCCAGCCCCCCAGCATCTGCTTCCCATCACAATTACATGATTTCCTACTCATCCAGCATGACAGTGACTCAGCTGGTCTTATAAAAACCTGTGTGTGTTCTTCGTGGAAAATAGCCTTAGAGCCAACTTTAGGTGTTGACAAAAGAGGAGAGAAAATGAGGAGGTTGAGGCCAGTGATGATTCTAGTAAGAAAATGAGAGTTTGGTGCAGGTTCAAGTGGAAAGTCTACTTCTGTCATGGCTCTGCTTCTTTAATGCGAGTCAGTTCACCATTTATTTGCTCTGTAGAAATAGGGAAAAGTGGTTTGTGACACTGTTACGGTGTATTTACCAGCCAATAAATAAATAATCCATCAAACCAGAGATAAAACCTTAAAGAATGACAAGACCGTAAACTTACGGAATTTAGATATGCAGAAGTGATAGTACATCTGAGTTAATTTTGGTGAATTTATTTAAGTGGCATCTTAATAGTGGAATAAATCACTTTCATCTTATATTTATGGAATCATGAAAGGCCTGTGGGTAGTCACTTATGTTTTCCAGTCATATTTTAGTGTAGTGGTTGAGAATCTTCTACAGGCAGGGAAGCGCTCTCCTATGAAGACTAATCTGTAATACGGATGGAAGCAGAGCTGAGCAGTGGGCCACATAAAGACCCAAGCTTCTCCTCTAAGCCCTGGGGCACCTTGTGGGACCTCTTGCTTCCCACAGTTTGAGAGGCTCATTTTAGTCTGATTCATGTCATGTTCCCAGTGTCTAGCACATGTCCCAGCATGGAATAGGCGCTTAGTGAGTATGGGTGGGTGGATGGGTGGATGGATGGGTGGATGGATGGATGGATGGGTGGATGGGTGGATGGATGGATGGGTGGATGGATGGGTGGATGGATGGATGGATGGATGGATGGATGGATGGATGGGTGGATGGATGGATGATTGAATATATGGGTGGATGCTTGAATATGCAGATTGGTGGATGATTGAGATTGAGTGCTGAATAGATGCCTGTGTAGACAAATACATGGGCAGGTGGATGATTGGCTGGCTGAGTGAATTTATAGAGGATTGATAGTAGATTCCAATCCTCCTTTCCACTATAATCTACCCCACTTATATTGCCACAAATGACCAAGTAAAAGGTTTCAGGACCTTGACATTACATTAGCTGACTTCTTGTAGAAATGCCTCCCCATTGTAAGAAGAATCCTGAACACCAAGTAGCCTTCCCCTCACCTCCATAAGCCCAGAGTTCTGCTGCCATCAAGGTGACATCCTACAGCCTCACCCCAGGAGCATCTCCTCCTTTCCTGAGTTCTGCTGGGACCTCACCCCCTCTGGGCTGCTTCCTCCCTCCTCTGATGCTCTTCTCTGGCCTGTCCTCCAAGGCCCAGCCCCACTGTGTGGATGTCCCTGACCCACCCCCAGCACTCTGACGTCTCTCCATCACAGATGCCTGGCAACCAGAAGATGGGTACCAGCAAGTGGGCTGAAGGGCTAACCTCAAAAGCAAAGGAGGAGAACCAGAAACACCCAAGCAAGTGAGCCCACCCTGCCATGTCCCCCACCCCAGCCCCTCTGCACACCCCTGCCAGGAGGCTGGGACCAGATACCAGCAAGCAGAGGGAAGAAGGTGCCGGAATCCTCTTCCCCATATTCCCTCCGATGACCTCATGGCCTCATCCTGGCGGTCTCAGCAGTGTAGGGAGAAGTGCAGTGCTGAGGACAGACTTGCCAGGGAAGTGGACCTGTGACAAATGTCTTCAGACTTTTCTGTGACAAGAGCCATCTGTCAGATTTGAGTCGTTGGCCCCCCCTTTCCCCTCTAGCCAGCGTCTCCGAGGGAGAGGACTAGAGGTCTAAAGGTGTTGGCTCAGCACCTCCAGTGTCTTCATGTCCTTCCCTTGTCAGTGCTCCTCGGGTAGCTTCAGGCTGCCAAGACTGCTTCCCTGTACCCAGAGGGACCATAGAGCTGCCTGTACACTACACCCAGCAACGACTTGGTAGTGATCATCTGCCTCAGTTTCCCTGACCTGCATGTTTCCCAGACTGGAGCCAGCCCTGACCATGTCCCCCTGGCATGCAACTGGATCTTGTCACCTCCCCTCACACCCGCTGCGTTCACCTGGCTTCTCCCCCTCCCCATTCTTCTCAGACCCATTCACCCATCTTGGAGGGAGGAACGTTCAAGAAAAGTATCTTTTTAGACAAACTGCCAGCAGGTCCAGAGAAGGCAGGGGGATGCCAAAGGACACACGGTGAGTGAGTGACAGACCCAGCTCTCCTGCCTCCACCCCCGCCACATCCTGCTCTCTGTCCCTGCTCTCTGCCCTATTTGATGAATTATCAGACACTCCTGGGTTCAAATCCCAGATCTGCCACAAAACTGGGGCAAATCTTCAGCTCACCAAGATCCAGCGTCCTCACCTAGAAATGAGGATGGCAATGGCATCTGCATGGAAAAGAAGCAAGCCCCTGACCCCGCCCCACATGCAGGCCTGGGTCACATAAAACCTTCTGACTCAGTTGTGGCTCCCAGTCCCAGCCCTGGACCAGAAGTCTGGAGGCAAAGACTCCTGCCTGGCACAGTGGTGACGCATGGACCCGGGTACCAGCCCAGAACCAACGGGGGGACCTTGGGACCCTATCTGCCAAGTAGGGAAGCATTTAGCCTGCCTCTGAGGCCTGCCCAGAGCACATCAAATCAGAGAGGCAAAGAAACTCTCTGCAGTGGCCTTATGCCTATCAGATGCATTCACCTGAGCCCTGCTCCATACTCAGCTCTGCATAGTGTGGGGCCACAGGCCTCAGCCTCCTCCCCCATCTCCATGCTCATGTGGGCAGCGGCCTCCATCCTGGTCTCCCACTTCCCATCCTGCCCCCCATTCTGCAGTCACAGGGGTCCCCTAAAACACTCTGACCGCACTCCTTCTCCCATGTCTCCTCTGTGCCCTTGAGATAGACAGTCTCTTAATGTGATGTTCAAGACCCCTGTGGTCTGGCCACGGCCAGCCCCTCCGATCTCAGCCTCCACCTCTCTCTCTCTCCCTCTTTTTTTTTTTAAGATTTATTTATGAGAGAGAGAGAGAGAGAGAGAGAGGCAGGCTCTGCGCCAGGAGCCCGACATGGGACTTGATCCCGGGACTCCAGGATCGTGCCCTGGGCCAAAGGCAGGCGCTAAACCGCTGCGCCACCCAGGGATCCCCTAGCCTCCACCTCTCTCATGAGTCCTCAAATCATGATCCCTCACTGGGAGCCCCAAGGTTCTCCTTTGGTGGCATTTGCCAGACTGATTTACCGTCAACCTGGAGCCGACCCCAGACCCAGACTCCTCGGTTGATACCTGATTTGCTCCCCTAGACGGCAGCACCTCTTTCATTCCAACAACCTGCCGGTGCTTGTAAATGCCTGCGAATCCCGTGTGTGGGCTGCATGGCGGGGCGGGTGGTCCTGCGTGTGGGCTGGATGGTGGGGTGAGTGACGGGCCGAACGAAATGCCAGTGGGTGAGAAGGATGGAGAGCAGCTCACCCCGTAGCCCACCCCCACGAACCCAAGCACACAGAACGACCAATCCCTGACTTCCCTTCTTGGGATTCAAGTGGCTCCTGAGCTTCCTTTCCATGCTGGCCATGCCCGAGGCACTGAAGAAACCCAGTGACAAGACAGAGGACACAGGTCCTGCCCTCCAGGGGCCTCAGCCCATGTGGAATCAGAGGGAGCAGGAGTGCAGGCTCCGGAATTGCACAGAACAGGCTGGATCTCAGTTCTGGCTCCACCTCTTTTACTAGCTCCGCCCTGGGCTTCCCCATCTGTAAAATGGGAGAGGAAGACACACCTCCCCCTCAGGTTGCTGTGCTGATTAAATGAGCTCCTGGTGCTTGTAAAGGCTGTAGCCCGACCTGGGGCTATTCTATTTCTCAGTGAGAGCTACCTTATTTGTCACATTGTTCCTCTGTGGAGAGATTGCCCCGGTCCCCTCCCCACGGTCCCAGGCACATCCCTGGAAGAGATGCAGAGATAGAAGATACACAGAGGAGGGGTCCCCTCTGCCAGCCCTGGACCGATTGGCCCTCCTCTTGCCACCATCTGTCTCTTCCCGACACACACACCGGCTCCTTCTCTGGAATCCTGGCGTCTTATCAGCAATGTTCAGCTGCTGATATGCCTTCACCCTGCATAAGCTGTAGGTCAGGGCCTGCTTGGATTACAATAAAGCGATCCAGAAGAAGCCAAGCATCGTTTTAGAGATAGGAACGTTTTAATTTACCAAGATCCAAAAAAACATGAGCTCTCCAAGCCTGGTGCGGGTAGTCACAGAAAGAAACCTTGGCTAAGAGCATGGGCCTTACGCTGCCCACTGACCCAGGTCCCTCTCTGTGGGCTACGTGCCCTGGAGTGAATTATTGAACTGTCTGGGACTCAGTTTCTCTACCTGTTACATTGGGGATCAATTTCCTCTTGACCGTGGGCCCCCTTGTGGAAGACCCTTGGGAAGAAATTCCAGAATAGAGGCAAAGCTTGCTTTATCCTCTGTCCGTGCCGCAGCTGGCGTGGGGACGGGGAGACGGGGGTGGGAAGGAGGGCTGTCATCATGCTATTTCTCCACAGTCACATATATCTCGTTGATAAAATGGGCCCTGCACTTAGGAATTGGAAGGGTTTCCTTCATAATTTAAGGCAGCACCTACCTCTGCCGGTCGTGGGGGCTGGAAGATTAATTTCTCAACCAGCCACGCAGGTGGACGCTGGCGCCGACTGCTCCATGTGCAGGCACGGGTGATGCCGTCTCTGCGCCCAGCGGGTAGTGAGACTGGCACCGCCGGGGCAGGAGGGCCAGGCGCTCATCTGACGGCAGCACGGACTCCCCGTGCCCCTACCTTCTCCTGAGAGCTGACGTCCCTGGCACCCGCAGCCCTGCCCTGGGCTTCCGAGGGGGAGGCCACATGGTGAGGGGCGAGACGATGACGTCAGGTGACAGCTGGCCAGCCTGGACTTCACTGGAGACAATCCAGTAGCAGCGTGACCGGGGCTCAGCTCCAGGCCAAGCCAGGGCCACCGGCCACAGGCTCCAGCGTGGTAGCACAGGGCACTGTGGTCACACCGGATGAGTGGGGCCCCAAGTTCCACCTCCCGACCAGGTGGAGGGCTGTTGGAAAGGACACCTCCTGCACCGAGTAGGAGCGAGGACCGTTGTCACTTAGTAAGGTCTGCCGCCGGCCTCGATTGAGGAAAACGTGGCAGGCATGCCCTGCGTCCACGGCTGGAGGACTCAAGTCCTCCTAAATTGAGGTCAGAGTGACAATGTAAATGGATCTTTCCGGCCTGAGGGAAAGACAAAAGTAGAGCTTCACCTCGCCACCTTTCAGCTGTGGGTCTTGAAGAAAAATGGAGAAGTTTAGCTCAGGGTAATAGCTGACAGGCAAGGGAATAAAAACAAGCAGCAGTCACAACCAGTCAAAGGGAGACGGAAACCCTGTGCCTCACCACAGCTGGGTCTGGAGGGCTCCAGCTCTTACCGTCGCATTGTCGGTCCCTACCTCCAGCGTGTCAGCTTTTGCTCCCGGCATCCGAGGTGCACGAGGGTTTATAATTGTTAAAACTTCCTCATTGCCCCTTTCTTCATTGTAAATCGTCCCTCTTCTCTCTGATGACATTTTTTTGTTTTAAAGTCTACTTTGTCTAATATTAGTGTAGCCGCTCTGGGAAGCCTTCTCTGATCTGATCTGACCCCCTGACACATCTGGGGCAGTGACCGCCTGACTTCCCCGGAACGCCCCGCGTGGGAGGCCAGTGCTGGAGGCCAACGGAGTTGGTCCTCATTCGGTGACCCCACTCCCGTCCATCACCTGCCGTTTTCCAAACTCTTGGCCAAGTTGTGCTGACCTTCCCACCTCAGGCTCGGTGGAGAAGAGTCTCTGTCTGGTACCGAGTCTGGGGATCAAGCCTCAGCTCTGCCACTGGTTTGCGGTGTGATCTTGGGCAGGTCTGTTGCCCTCTGTGAGTCCCTCTCTTCCTGTCTGTGGGTTAGTTGAGCTCTCAGGCCAGAGGCTGGAGAGGAGACGGGGGAGGTCAACCCCCACTCGCAGAGGTTCCTGCAGGCGTATCCTTACTGCTCCCTTCCTCGCTGGAGCAAGCAGCCAGGACATGGTCCATGCGGCTGACCTCAGACTATCTTCCATTTGTTCAGGCACAAATAATTCACAGAGCAGCAAGGCTGGAGGAGGACGTGTCATAGGATCTCGGCCTCAATTCAGTGTCCTTTCTCTCTGTTCGCAGTAGCTCGGTACAACCGAACCAGCTATTTCTACCCCACGTTCTCAGAAAGCTCAGAGCACAGCCACCTGCTTGTGTCTCCTGTGTTGGTGGCAAGTGCTGTCATAGGTGTGGTCATCATCCTCTCCTGCATCACCATCATCGTAGGCAGTATCCGCAGGGACCGGCAGGCCCGGCTCCAGCGTCACCGCCACCGCCACCGCCGCCACCATCACCACCATCGCCACCGCCGCCGCCACCGAGAGTATGAACAAGGATACGGTGAGTTGCCATCCGCCCCGGGCCCGGCCTCCTGTGTGATTGTCACTACAACCCAGCCCTGTCGTGGGTGGGCCAGGGTAGTCAGGAAGGTATCCCAGAAGTGGGGTCAGGAGGAGATCGGAGGCACTCTCCAGAACATTCTCAGGGGCCTGAGAGGTCCAGTAGTCTGCCAAGGGTGATGCTGAAGGTCAAAGGGGGGCTACAGTGCTATTCCCCAGCCTCGGCCAGTGTTGGTCAAGGAGGATGAGGAGATGGAGAGGTGAGGGGACAGGGTGGGACAAGGAGCAGTGGCTGAAGGGAAAGATGGATGAGTGGATGGGATGGGAGATGGTGGACAGAAGGACACATGAAGAGAGGATGAGTGACTGGGGGGGAGGGTGCATAGATACAGGCGTGGATTGGGTAGATGTGTGAGTACGTGGATGGATGGGCTGGGTGGGTGGATAGGAGGAAAGGTGCCTAAACAGGAGGGTAGTGGGGTGGCTAGGTGGGGGGTGACATGGGCATACGAGTAAGTGGATGGATGAGTGAGGCATGAATGACGAGTGAATGAATCTATCCCCAGACAGCCTGCAAAGTGCACACAGACCGACGTGAGAGTTTCCCAATTAGTGCAATTACCCTAACGCAGAGTTGGTGGCTAATTCCTGGGCCAAGCAGTCCCGGAAGTGCCCATCCGGCCAGAAGGCCTGAACTTCTTAGAGTGCAGCCGCCTGACTCTGTCTTACACCTGGAAAGGACCAGTTACCTGAAAGCAGCAAGAAGGAGCTCGAGTCATTCAACCCTCAGAGCCTGCCCTGAGGCCTGACGGGGGCCTCTGCCTGGGTTGGGGGGTCTGCCCAGAGGCCACCGTCCCACTGCAGGTGAAGCCGTCTGGAGGCTCCGGAACCATGGCAGCAGCTGAGAATCTGTCCTCCTCCGGGACAGGCAGAGCTTGAGAGGAAAAAAGAAAAGAAAAATTTAAAGCCTGGTTGGGTGCGATCTCCTCCCGCCTGGACCCTGGAAGGCCTGAAAGCCACAGCCCCTCCCAGCACGGCCTGACCATCCGGCAGCTTTGTGCCACCCCCTCCCCTCTTCCCACGCGGAGTTAACTGCTTGGGGAAGGGGCCACGTTTTAGCAATAGGGACACCCGCAGGTGGGGACGCGAAACACGTGGGAATTGGGCCGCAGGAGCTCCCTGCGTGCCGGCCACTTTTCACGCACAACCTCGTTTAATCCTTACAGTGGTCCTCTTTATTACCTTCTCGGTTTACAGATAAGGCAGTTGAGGTTGGGGGGTGAGGCTGCTGTGACAAATGCACCCTAAATTGAGTGGCTTGTATGCAAGAGATATTTAGTCCTCCGTCCTGGAGGCTGAAGATGCCCAAGGTCAAGGCACCTGCAGATTTGGTGTCTGGTGAGGGCTCACGTGCTTCTCGCCATGTCCTCACATGGTAGGAGGGACGAGCTGGCTCTCAGGGTCTCTTTCATGAGGGCACTGCTCCCCATGATGAGGGCTCCACCCTCCTAACCTAATCATCTCCCAAAGGCCCCACCTCGTAATAGCGCCTTGGGGGTTCAGATTTCAACATATGAATTGGGGAGGGGGGCACAAACACTCAGACCATAGCAGGGTGCTTAAGTAACCTACCTAGGGTCACCCAAGCAGGGGGACCCCAGATTTGAGCCCAGGTCACCCGATCCGGATTCCTGTAGGCTACTCACTGCACAGCACTGCCTTGGAGGGCCCGGTGCTCACACCCCTGAGGGAAGCTGAAGGTGTGGGGGAGACAGCAGCAGGGGCACCCCATGGGCTCAGGGCCCTGTCTGGCAGATGCACTTAAGACCTAGGCGGCCCTGCAGACCCAGATGTCGTTCCTCTGTCAATGCTATTGGGAGAAGAGAAGAGCAGGAAGCTGGCCTCTGAACAAGACCCAGAGAGACATCAGCATGGCGGGGGACACATGGCTACAATGGAAGAAAAGTGCAGCAGGTTAGGGGTTCGCCCTCACTGCCCAACAATGGAAACTAAAGAGAAGCAACAGCATGAATAAGGCAGCTGCTGAAGTTCAGCCAGCCCCAGTCCCCAGGAGCCAAGGAGTCCCCCAAGAAGACAAGCCAGGAGCACCCCAGACCAGGCCTGGCTTGTTTCTAAGCTGCTTTGCCAGCCTGACCCTTAAGGATTGCAAGGCTCTGCCCAGCATGGCCCACCCCCAACAAGGAGCCAGGGCCCCCTCTCACCCTCCCCCTTGCTAGCAGGGTGCTGCTGGTCAAGCCCAGGACGACAGCGTGCCTGCCTCCCATGGCCCAACTCTTGCCGCCCCCCCCCCCCGCCCCAGCTTGTCCCCAAGCACCTCCTTCACGCTCCTCCCCACCTCCACACCTCTGCACATGCTCTTCCTAGGCCAGAACGCTATTCCCCGTACTTCCCCAACTGACCAGAGCCTACTTGTCCTTCCAGGCCCAGCTCAAGTGCCACTTTCTTTTGGGAGCTGCTCTGGCCAGTCAGGGTTGCATGGCCCTTCCCTGTACTTCCTTGACACTTATCCACACCCCTAACATGGCCCTGTCATGGGGCGTCTGGGTTGCATCAGGGAAAGCAGGGCACAGCTGTGTGTAGCTCTCACGGGGCCAAGCCCACAGCCCAGCACAGGATCTCACCCAGAGAAGATGCTCCCGGGTGGAGGAAGGAACCACCGCATTTCCTCCTCACTTCGAGAGCTGTGTTAGCTTATGTTACTTATATATATATATATATATATATATTCTTGAAGTAATCTCTGCGCCCAATGTGGGGCTCAAACTCAATCTCAAGATTGAGAATTGCATGTTCCACCAACGGGGCCGGCCAGGTGGCGCCCCTAGCCCATTTTAAAGACTGGGAAGCCAAAGCACCCATTTGAATGGCCTGCAAGTTCCCGCCTGGGCCGGTACGGAGAGCATGAGAGAGGGCCCACGGGAAATCCCTAGCTGAAGTCTGAGAGAGCGACGTTGGCCTTAAGGAGAGAGACGAGCCTGCTCAAGGTGCCACATGGGCAAGGCCCTGGCCCTGATCTCTGGAGTAGGCGGGGTGACAGCAGGTCACAGCCAGGCCAAGTCTGGAGTCTGGCCTTTGCTGCCCCATGCTGACCAGCCGCAGCCCTGCAGCCCTGTCACCGCAGGCACCCATTTGTGGGGTTTCCACTTCCCTGCCCCACTTCTGTTCTCAGCTCTTGCTTTGGCGCCTCTGTGGGGACTCAGTGGGGAGCCCAGAGGCACCGACACCCTCCACAGCATCCTCCAGCCTCCTGGAGGGTGCGCAGGGGGCCAGGAGCCTTGGAAGGGTGCCGGGGAGGAGAAGGGAAGCACACTGTGCATGCCGGGAGAACGCAGCAGAGCGCTGACAAGCACCCGCTATTGGCCCTGGGGACCCTTCAGTTCTCCAGACACCCCCTTCCCCTGGCTCCAGTGACTGAGGCCCTCCTGGTCTCTCTCCCACCTCTCTGCTGGCTCCTTCTCAGACTTTCTTACTGATTCCTGGTCTCCAAGGAGAGGAATATCAAGGTCCCTCAGAGCCCAGCCCTTGGCCCCGGGTCCTCTCTCTATACCCACCCCCTGCTCGATCTCAGCCACCTGCCAGCTTTGGGCTCCACCCATCATCCTCGGCCAGGGATCCCCCAGCATCTCTCCTTGGTCTCACAGGCCCTCCTCAGAGCCAGGGGATCCAAATGGCCCTCGTCTTCCACATCTTACGACACAACCTGGGGAACGTTGTCCAACCGCTGTGTACGTCAAGTGGGCCACCTATGCAATGGGTACCCGGGGGCCATCCCTGCAAGTTACTGTGAGGACTAAATTAGCACGGCACCTGGCTTCTGAGTGCATGCTCAATACATGTTAACTCTTTCCATTCTTTCTCCCCTGAGAAAACCTGAGCCAGGGCCACTTCAGTGACACTGGCCACCGCCACTTGCCAGCCACCCAATCTGGGACCTGCAAGGCACTCTCCACAAGGTGCCCCAAGTGACTGAACTGTGAACACTTCCATCCTCTGCTCAGCACCCCCTCAGTGGCTCCTCATGACCCTCAGGACAAAGTTGGCCCTTCTCTGCTTGCCCACAGAGCCCTTCTGCAGTCTAGCCAGGCACAGAGAGAGGAGCCAATAAATGGTTGGGAATGAATGGATGGATGAATGAATGAATGAATGAAAACTGTGTTTCTATAAGATGGAGAAATCTTCAGCTTTAGGAGGCATATCTGGTCTCCTGTCACTTGCTGGGGTTTAGGGTAAGTGGCCCCACCCCTCAGTTTCTCTGTCTGAGAGCAGGACGTGGCCACAGTGCCTCTCACGGCTGTGAGGGTGAGTGTGATCACCAGGCTAGAGCACAGTAGGTGCCCATGGATGCCAATTCCTGCTCCCCACTCCCAGGCTTGTCAAGGGGTGTTAACCTCGGATTTGGGTTAAATAATGAGCTAGTGTTTCTCAATTTTGGTAAAAAAGGGGGGAGGGAGACCTCACTCCCCATGAGGTGGCTAGAGGGCCTTCTGGAAGCCTAGACCATCAGGGTCTGTACTGACACAGAAGTATAGAGAAGAGAGGGATAAGAAAGAAATTTGAGGAGTTGAAATGAGGGGCAGGGGAGCCTTTCCAGCTGTTCCTTGGGAGCTCGGTCTGGGCTGAGCTGGGTCATCTCAGGACTGGGGCCCGAGCTAGCTGAATGCCTCAGCTTCCCTAAGCTGCTCAGCCTCTGGGAAGCCCAAGGAAAGCAGCCCAAGGAGAGAGGAGAGAGGCAGTGTGGCCTGGCTCCATCAGCTCGAAGGCATGCCTACCAGGGCCACCCCACCCCGTCCAGGAAACGGCCTTAGCTCTCCCAAGGTCTAGACAAGCCACAGCCTCCTGCAAGGTGGACGGGACCCTCCCTGGCACTGGAGCGCAGAGGCCCACGTTCCACTTCTGTCCTCACCCCGTTTCGTGCTTCCTTCTTTCCCAAGTTTCTTCCTCAAATTTTTCCAGAAAGTCTCCCCTTCAGCTGGTGCCCTAAAGGGAAACAAATCTCATTTCAGCTCCTTTTACAGCATGCTTTATTGGGTACCTTTATCCTACGAGAAAGGTAATATGTGTTCGCCGTGGAGAACCTTTAAAATACAGAAAATATAAAGAAGAAAATAAGGGTCACAATCCCGTCATCTAGACAGAGCCACTGTTAACGTGTTTGGAATATTTTCTTCTGAGAGCTTTCTCGATGTGCACAGATAGCCCTGGGATTATACCCACAGAAGAAAAATCCAGATTTTTCTTCTCTCTGTTGTATCAGGAGCTGGAAAAAGAGATTAGGGGAGTGGAGAGAGCAGGCTGTACAGTTACACCGAAGCCTCAGCTTGTAGAATGTAGCATGGGGCGCAGCGTGCGCTGACCTGAGGCCACGAGCCCACCCCGCTGTGAGTCCTGATCTCTGAGGGGAGGAGCCAGCGGGGAGCCCACTGGCTGGGGAGACCTCGTGGCTCAGCCCATCTTTGCGGCTCCCACTGTCCCGTAGCCGCTATTAGAACTGTCAGCAGCTGGGAGGTGCAGAGCTCACAGGGTGAGGAGCCAGGATATCCAGCTGCCCTCTGGTCCTACCAATAACTTGTTTGTGTGGCGTCTGGCAAGGCCCTGACCCCCCTCTTGATTCACACTTGTAGAATAAAGAGATTCTGTTCTATCGGTACCTCCTCAGCAGTGTTGCTAGATCTACGAAAAGAAGACTCTGGTCAAATGCTGCATAAGCACAGTCAAACGTATTTCTCCGGTGCAGGACTTTTCAGAGCCTTTGATGGGCTAGTATACGGTAAACAATCAAAAGAGAAGAGAATACAGTATTTGGAGTCACCAGAATTCATCACAAAAGTGCCTTTTCTCCTGCGATAACTAAGGGAATAATGTGTGGTTGGGTACAGGGAGTAGGAGGGCCTGACCCCAGAGACCTCTGCCGCCCTCATTCCCTGACTCCCCAGCTTTCATGCCCCAGCCTTCCCCACAGTTTCAAAGCTACCTTTTCGCACCACACTCTTCTTTCTAATCTCCTTCCTTGGCTCAAGCTGTTCTGTGTCTGTTGCCCAGCCTGTCCCTCTTCTCTTGGTTAATTCCTAGATAAGACTCCGCTTTAGGAGCCCCTCCTCCAGGAAGCCCTCCTTGACTTCCAGGCTAGGTCAGCTCATCGGTGTTCCCCCAGGACCAGTGCTGCCTCTATCAAATCTCATGACACACTGCTCCGTACCGGGCTGTCCCCAGGACGGGCTGCTCACCACCCTGGGAGCTGCACCTGGGCAGAGCCAGCTCTGCTTTCTCTCAGACCCCCATGCCCAGCACAGCCTGGGTGCTTACATTCTAGGGCTATCTCTGAGAGAATGACAGGCAGCGTGCTTGGTGAGCTGCCAGGCGGTAAGTTGGAGAAGAGTCTCGGGGGCCTCAGGTGGATGTGTAAGGACCTCCCTGTTTCTGGCCTAACGCCCAGGCTGAATGTCGTTCCCCTGCAGTGTCCGATGGGTACACGTACAGCCACCCGAGCCACAGGATACGCTATACCTGCAGTCCTGTCGAGGATTGGTCCCCACCGTTGGAGCTCAGTTCTGATGGGGACATGGATGCCACAGTGCTTCGAGAGCTGTACCCAGACTCTCCACCAGGGTAAGGAGGCTGCATGGGGGAGGAGGGCATGAGAGGGAGGGGCACTGGGTGTGAATCCCCCCCCCCCCGTGGGAAATAGCACTCCCATCTCCAAATTACACCAAATGGTGTAAATGCAAAATATCTCTGGGTGTGGAAGCAAGCAGGTCCCAGTGAAGCAGAGCATGACACAACAGATGTCACTAAAGAAGGAAGAGAAGAGCTCAGGTCCTTCAGGCTGGGACCAAGGGGTGGAGCGGGGGTCCAGGCCCCAGCTCCTTCGTATGCACCCCCAAAACCCAAATCACATCCACTGGGTCAGGGATCACTGTGACCAAACTGTTCTCATGTCCATCAGGTGGCCCTGTCCCATTAGAGAATTCTTCTCTGGGGGCCATTTGGGTTTTCCCTGCCACCCTCAGGCAGATCGTCCATGGGATAGTACTTGAAAAAAGAAGAAAAGGCCTCCATCACTTCCTCCCCACAGGAGACCTCTCTGGCCTCACAAACAGCCATACCCCCATCACCTTTTACCCCCCGGGGGGCAGTGGGTACTTTTTTGTCCTTCAGCTGTGGGTTTCAGAGGAGCCTGGGGTTCTCCTTCTTAAAACTGGAAGGTAGACTTGGGTGACTTGAGATCAAGGAGTGTCAGCCTAAGGTTGCTGCCACTAGCGCCACCCACACTGAGTGCCAGCCGGGGAGATGCTCTAAGCTCAGTGACTTGCTCACCAGGGTCACACGGAACACAGGCTGAGTCAGGACCAGAATCCAGTCTCAGTGGCTCCAGGGTGCCCATCCTGGGGGGAGTCGAGGGGTTTCATTAGAGCCAGCATGCCAGAGGTCTGGCTTGGTCCACACCAGGGCAGCTGTCACTGTAGACAGGCTCCCAGCCCTTGGGGAAAGACCTCCACGCCCACCCTAAGGCCAGGTCCCACAGAGCCCTGAAGAGACCCTCTTCTCTTGTAGCTATGAGGAGTGCATGGGACCAGGGGCCACTCAGCTGTACATCCCGACCGATGCCCCACCGCCCTACTCGCTGACCGACTCCTACCCCGTGCTGGATGGCGCCATGAATGTAGGCAGCGGCCCCAGCCCCGGCCGATACCAGCAGGCACAGAGGATCCTGGGCTTTGGTGGCCTCCGCACCGTCTCCATGGATACCCTGCCCCCTTATGAGGCTGTGTGTGGGGTCAACCCCGCATCAGGTCTGCTGCCACTGCCTGGACCAGAACCAGGGCTAAGGAGCTCCCAGGGCTCACCCACCCCAACCCGGGCGCTGGCCTCTGGTCCAGAGAGGATTCTGTGAGAGATGCAGCCAGCCAGGTCCTGCCGGTCCCTCGGGCTGAGCCACAAGGGCGTGCACACACACATGCACACACACATACACACGGGCTCACAAGGGCATGCACACACACGGACACGTACACGCACGCGGATGTGCACACGCAGCACTCTCACATGCACACATGTATACACAGTTTGTACACACACACATACACATGCAGATATGCACACACAGCACTCGCCCCCCCCACACATATACAATCTGTACACACACATCCAGATATGCACCACACATGTACAGACATGTGAATACACACAGGCCCCCCCGACATCCACACAAACCCACTGCTAAGGTTTCATTAAAAATGAAGCTTTCTTGACCTCCCGTCTCCTCCCCAGCCTGTTGATAATGCCTCTGCAGACAATGCTGGGAGAAGACAGGTGGAGAGGGACAAGGGCTTGCTCCTTCCTCTCCCTGGCCTGTTTGCCTCTGCCTTCACCTGGCAGGCTGTGCCCAAACTCTGATTCTGCCTCCCGAAACTGCTCGACCATCCCAGGTCAGCCGCCTGCCCCTCCCACCCCAGGGCGGCGTGCCCTCCTGGCTGGTGGGACAGGCTTCAGTGAGGTCCAGCTACACACTGTACCTCTCCCTCAATTCCAGGGCAGCCACAACATCACCACTCTGCCACTTATGGGGTGAGGGACACGAGTCTGGGGGCTCAGGCCCTCACCACCCACCCTGCCCCTTCCCTAACCCAGTGCCCCCAGCCTCGTGGTGCTGGCGGAGTTATTTTGGAGGCCCCCACCCCACGCGACAGGTGATACGCAGGGTCCTTGGTGGGCACGCGATGGTGGTGGTGGTGGGTTAAAGCTGTCCCCATATCAGCCCAACCATTGCCCAGGGCTGAGGGTCTTCAAAGAAGAGAAGGGTGGCCTGGGCACGGCTCTGAAGCAGAGAAGTGGCCCCTTGCTAAGTGTGTGCCCAGCTGACCATCATGGCCCGAGTTTGGGCTGTCCTCCACGGTGGCAGCTCCTAGTTGGGAATTGTGAGCTGATGTGTTCTGGCCCTGCCCTCCAGGGTATTTGCGGAAATGAAGGGGAAGTGGGCCCCCCTAAATACTAGCATGCCACCACGAGAGGCTGTATCTGGGCCTCACTGCCAAGGGCACCCCAGAGAGAGATATATAGGTTTGCCTGCTTCTAGAGTGGCCCACAAATCCCAACAATTTCCATCAGAGACCATGCAAGTAACAGAGCTGATTTCTGAAGACCCAGCCTGCCGGAGGCTGGCAGCTGAATATCTTTGTGGAGTGTCCCGCCAGCATTGCCAGCGGCAGGAAGTGGAGTCCACGTCCACCCTGCCTCCCCCGCCCGCACCTATCCTCTTCTCCCCATTTCCATTTCTCTATTGAAGGGCTAAGACATTTCAGTAATCCCTTTCTTGAGAAGGAGGGTGACAAGGATGGCAATCGTGAATTTTATTTTCTGTAGAATTAGGATTTCTTCTGGTGCAGAACGGAAAGAAATCCGTCCAGAGGTCCTGTGGCATCCTGGAGCACCCGACTCCGCCAGGAAAGGGACTTTGTTTACAAGCAGTTCTGTCCGCCTCTGTGGTGTACTGTTTTCTAGGCAAAAAATCTCTGTCTGTTGTACTGTAACAGCCTTTAAATGCACTCCAGGGATGAGACTCTTTTAAGAAATGCATCCTGCTTCCGCAACCCCAGAGAGTACTAGGGGGGACAAAAGATAAAAATCCCTAAGGACTCATCAGTGTTTGAGGGATGGAGCTAACAGCTTTTCTTGTTCCTGGATGAAGCGCTAAATAAGCAACAATGTATCTTTTCTGTGTTCAAAACAAGTATATCGTATCAATAAAAATGTCGCAAAGCGAACATTCTCCGTGCCTGGGTTCCCTTCCTCGGTCGCCCTGCCCTCCCACTCGAACTCGAGCGGCATCCAGCCGCACAGCCCTAGACCCGGTGCCCCGCACCCCGAGAGCGGGTGGGATCCCAGGAAAGCGCCCCCCGCCCCCACCCCCACCCCCCGCGCATCGGCCCCAGCCCACAGCGCCCCCTGCCGGCGGCCGCTGCCGGTGCTCCAGGTGCGCACCTGCGTCTGCGGCCGGCCCGGGCTCCAGCTGGTCCTGCACCCGCGGCGCTCCGGGGCTCGGCCCGCAGGCATTCCGCGCCCAGGCGTCCTCCTGCCCCTCGGCCAGCTCCCCGCCCGCCGCACACCAACCGACCTCTCCTGTTGTCCACGCCGCGCTGCGCGGCCGGCGGCCTCTGGTCTGGAGCCAGCGCAGCAGCCCTGGCGGCAGGGTGGGCAGGGTGCCGCCCGCCGCACCCGAAGCACACCAACAGGCGGTTGCAACAGCACCTGGACCCCACCACCCCCGCCCCGGCCCAGGAGGCTGCTGGCTCGGCGGTCCCTGCCTCCCGCCCACCACACCCTGGGTGGCTCAGCCCGGGGGCTCAGGAGGACCCCGAGATGGGAGGTGACAACTGTGGGCATGCCAGGAACCGGAGTGGGTAGGACCGGGGACAGGACGAGGTGCCAAGGGTTGATGCAGGAGATGAGTCCGCGAGCGCCACGGGGTGTGGGCAATGAAACGAGGAAGGCAAGGGAGCCAGTTCAGGGCTTGAGGGTCCACAGGTCCCCCTCCGGGAGGGTGGCGAACGGGGTGGATTACTCACACCGGCTCCCAGACTCCCCAGGGCCATCATTCGAGGCTGCCTCTAGAGAACGTCACTCCTGCCTCTCGTGCAGCCCAGCGCCCCTCTGGCCAGAGGCATCCAGCCCGGGAGTTGCGGCTGCTGGTGGGGAAGGCAGTAGGCATGCGCGGCGCATCGCGGGTCGGCCAGGGTGTCCCCGACAGGGCACCCCGCACAGGGCATCCCCGACAGGGCATCCCTGACAGGGCACCCCGTACAGGGCATCCCACACAGGGCACCCCGCCCAGGGCACCCCGGCCACGCGCGCCACCACCATGACCCGCAGTCGAGAGGAGGGCCACCCTGGGACAGCCGTGGGCTCGCAACGACTGAGCCCCCCTGCACGCAGGGTCCCTCACAGCCCAGGGGTCTGACTCCCCCAGGCTCAGGCCCATGTGGGGGCCCTGGCTCTCCCCACCTGCGGTCGGGAGCAGCCTGCTCAGCTCAGGTGACTTTGGCGCGACCCGCCAGCGCACACTCGGTTCCCGCGCAGGGCCCCCCACGCCCACTGCAAGGCCACCGCCCCTACTGAGGTGTCACCGCTGGGGGCCCAGCTGAGGACCGGCGGGGTATGAGGCAGAAGGGCGGCAGCTGCACCCCCTGAGGATGACTCCTCCGCCCGGGGCCGCTCTGCTTGCCTCGTAGTGAGTCCTCAGGAGGACTCCCAACAGGGGCCAGTTACCTGGGTCGGGCAGGTATTTCCGTGTGTGTGGGGGGCAGCTATGCCCCCAGGGTGGCAGCCCAGCTGTGCCGCTCAGCATCTCCTGGGGGATCCCAGGGCCCTACCCATAGCTCGCAGACTCCTCACCAGCGTCCTGAGCCCTGGGGTCCTGGGAAGCTCTAAGGCCCATTAGCATCCCGATGACTCAATTACGAGAGATGGAAACCCAACTCGAACCTTCTTCAGCAAGAAAGGATATTTATTGACTCATGTAACTGAATTGTCCAAGCAAGAATTCTGACTTCAGGCTTGGCTGGATCCAGGAGGTCCGGGAACATAGGCCAGAGTATTGCCTCTCTTGGCCCTGCTGCCCACCATGTCACCTTCATTGTCCCCCAGGAGTGACAGCTGTGGGTGCTCCAAGCCTATTTCGGTGGGCCCATGACCCGGCCCCAAGGCCTATGTCACTGCTGGGCTCTGACAGCTCATCCTCTTCCCAGCCCTTCCCTCCCAGGACTGACCCTGTGTGTTTGAACCATCTCTGGCAGATGTCCCAGGGCAGGACTCAAGCTGGTTCTTCTCTGAGTGGGGAACCCCGGGGGTGGGGCTTATGGGGTGGACAACGGGCAATTATGATGGCAACAAATTCCTCTCTCTCTGTCACAGCCTTGAGGAGCCTAGACTCAGAGTTCTAGACTTGGGGTCCCTGACCGGACAGCACCCACAGCTGTACTCCCTTCGGCCTCTGTGGCTTTGTGGGGTACTTGGGAGCCTTTGGGCAGCAGGGACAGCTGCAAGGGAAGGCTAGGAGCAAGGCCCCCAGATGCATGGCTGTCCCTGCTTCTATCTTCAGCTCACTGTGACTTTGAGTTGGTTCTTTTCCTTCTCTGGACTTCAGGACCCCAACCCCACCCCCCACCCCCCCACCCCATAGCTCCTGCATATCTCCAGTGCTCCCTTCCTCACCTCCTCCTGCCCCCTGTATTGTCATCAAAGTTAGTCACCCTGGCAGGCAGAGAAAGGTTCTCACTAAGCCAGTCACTCCCCCAAGGGCCCAGACAGCGTGGGTGCAAATAACACGAAATCCGACAGTTTCAAGAGGCCCCAGAGGTCCAGTGGGGAGGAAACTGGTCCTGGAAAAGCTGAGCTGACCCCAGCGCGAGAGGAATGATTCCAGGCACCTGCCCAGGCACTATGCCACCGTGCTCTTGGGCCACCCAGGGGAGAGACAGTCCACGGGCACAGGGGCATAATGGGGTTCCCAAGAGCTGAGGAACAAGGTGTCCAGGATGAGTGAAGTGGTTACATCAGTAAGTAACTAAAAGCAATAGAAGAATCATATGCGGGATGGGAGGTGGGGGTGGAGACTAACTTGCCAGAACCAAATTGTTAAACTTTGGCTATTAGTAGGGGGAAAAAATGCAGGCCATTCCAGCCCTCTCCTCAGGGAGCAAATCTGCCTGGGGCCAAGGACAGAGACAGAGACAGAGATAGAGAGACAAAGAGACCACGAGAATTAAGGCCCTTCTGTGTTAGACGCACATACATCGCCCAGCACCACCTTCCTTGGCCTGGCGCCTGTCTCTTCGGCACAGCTCAGTGGCCTGGAACTCTGCAGGCCCCCTCCCCCGAGTCTGCCACTCCCACTCGGCGCTCTTATAAATCTTTGGCATCAAGGAAAAAGCATGGCCTGGGGTCTCGGATAGTTCCGGCCTGGTAA